TGAGTCTGTCCCCAGATGGTTAGGAAAAGAACAAGTCATCTTTTGTTCTGCTTCCTAAGACAGAATCCATCTGTACAGCATATCTGAAATAAATGAAGTAGTATTCTAACACTCGAATAGAGAATAAAATAAATCAATTTCTTAGTATTTATGTAATTTTGTGGTCATTGCCTGGATCTAAGAAGTCCAAGGAAAACCTTCTTTTATAGAAGTTTGGTTTAATAATTAAGGATTTAATACGCCTTGATGGTCTTACTCCACGAAATCTGTTGCAGCACACTACAGATGCTGAACATCCAGTTTCTTCTTTAAGAGGGTAATTGTATTACCACAGAGGTACATGTGGGCTAGGAGGACAATGACAAGGTCATGAATTCACCTTTACTACAGACTACCAGAGAATGTCAGCTCAGGAAGGAGAACAGCTGTTTATGAGGGTGGATGGTGATAGGACAAGGGGGAATGGTTTCAAACTGAGACAAGGGAGGTTTAGATTAGATATTAGGAGGAAGTTTTTCCCCCAGAGGGTGGTGAGGCACTGGCACAGGTTGCCCAAGGAGGCTGTGGATGCCCCATCCCTGCAGGCATTCAAGGCCAGGCTGGATGTGGCTCTGGGCAGCCTGGGCTGCTGGTTGGTGACCTGCACACAGCAGGGGGTTGGGACTGGATGAGCACTGTGGGCCTTTGCAACCCAGGCCAGTCTATGATTCTATGAATGATTGAGAAGTTGCAGGTGAGGAGCTATGCACACAAATCTTATTTGAGGGGACACCACCAAGAACAGGAGGGCCAGAAATCACCTTCCCAGGATGAAGGTTTGACCACATAGTCAGAGCACTCAGCAGCTCAGCAAAGATTCTGTCACTTTCAGGGCTGTTTCTCAGCAAAAGCCACAGGCTGCAGCATCTTCACCAATCTTCGAAAATTCAGCACTGCTGATTCCTACTCCCAGAGTCAACAAATTTAAAAATAACAGGAAAGAAAACTACAGCAAATGGCTCGGCTCTGTTGATACACTCCAGGACTAATGATACTGTAATTTGTTTACTGGCAGTGCTATCACTGCTGCAACATAACCCGAAGACCCAATCAAGATTAGGAGGCCATTACATTAGGCACGGGGATGGAGGCAGCCCATACCCCAAATTGCTGGCAATCTATCTGCACAAGGCAGACAAAGTACGGCCATCACTTTGCAGACAGAAAACAGAAGGAGTGAGCAGACTGCCAAAAGCTTTCAGAAGCTTGCTCAAGGAAATCTATGACAAAAGCATGACATAAACCATCGCTGCTGGAAGTGCATTTCGGTGCCAACTCACTGCCATATCCACTAATCTCATTACTTTGCTGTGTCAGGTTGCTTTTCAGACAACGCTGATGCTGGATGATCAGAAAAAGTGGTTCTGTTAATTGTATTTCTTAACAAAGATATGGGGATCTGATCATATTCTTGTCACGGAAAAAGATCAGGACCAGGTTTCATATGTTCTCTCAGTCTTCCTATGTAATAATCTATTTGTGTTCTTAACTAAGGCTGTGCCAAGCTGAAAAATTAGCTGGTGATTTACAGTACCAAGTTAGGCTGTAAGGCGCCTTATGGAAGGGCAATTAGGTACTCCTGAAGGGTAATCCAAAAATCCTGCTCTAATTGAACACAGCCAGGAGTTACTCCTAGGGGAGGAAGAAAAAAAAATATTTGCTTAAATATTAGAAGAGATGTTCCCTAATCTCTTCCCTAATGAAGTCGCACCTTACCTCCTGCTGCCATTGGAACTTAGTCTTGTTCATTGAGGCATCAGAATGTATTTGTGAGTCAGAGCACAATGCCTGCTTCTGGGGTTATGCATCTAATTGGAAAAGGAGAGAAAGAGGCAAAGCTGCTGCATGTAACAGCCTGATAGCTGAAGCACTGGCAGAAGTGTAAAAACTCATAGTTCTCCCTCATCTGGAGGAGATTCCAGTTCTCACTTCCTCCTTCTCATGCTGTCAGACTAGAAACTCCCTTGGTGAATCTCTACCTTGAAGGTGCAAGAATCAAACAATACAGAAGGTGACCAGCCAGGACTCTGAAGCTCTGCCAGATATGGAGGATAGCAGACTGTGGTCTCTCTGGACATTTGCTGCAAAGCACTGGGATGCTCAGCCTCTCACCTGCTGCAGAAAAAACTCACAGGAAAACTCACACAGACAGCTTGCTCCTAAAACCCTTTATCCCAGATGTGTTTTGGAATCAACCCACAGGCCTTTCACTCTTGCAGCAGTAGTCTGCTCCTGCCCACGCTCTCTCTGCCAACACTCCTCATCCCATGGGAAACGGGCATCTATGGGACTCGAGGGAAGGCAAGATGAGGAAGTAAGGCAAAATAGAGCCCAGAGCCCACTTTCTTATTCGACTCTCATAGAATCACAGAATGGTTTGGGTTGGAAGGGACCTTTAAGACCATCTCCTTCCAAGCCCCTGCTGTAGGCAGGGTCACCTCCGTCTAGACCAATTCGCTCGCAGCCCCATCCAGCCTGGCCTGGAATGCTTCAAGGAAGGGAGCATTTCTCATTGGAAATTCATAACTTAAGCCCCCTCTTGGTCTCCTCCTCCTTGCTGGGAATTCTCAAAGCATGAATAACTAGCAAACAGACAATGTTCTTTCTTAAGTCTGCTCAAAATTAAATAACCTTTCAGGGAAGCAAGGAACCAACTGCATGCCAAGGAGCTGCATCACTGTAATATATGCACTGGTATGGGAACGGTGAGGGGCAAAGCAAGAAGATATGTGACCAACCAAGTTGTCAAAATGATGCACCACTCTGTTGGAAAATCAAGGGCTAAAAGAAGTTCAAAACGAATCCTATGGAATGCAATACAACTCCTCCAGCTCTCTCACAAGTGCCTGAACCAGTCTGTCACCCTCTTGCCCATGGCTCCTGTGCCCCTTTGCTGCTGTATTTCTGGATATCTCTCCAGAACTTTGCTCTGGAACTTTGCTACCTGCCTGGTAAAAAAACAGAACTGCTACGAGTGTGCTGAGGATAAACATGAAGTACAGGGAGCCTAATGAGATCACACAAATAAGACAGATCATTTCAAGATGAATCCCAGACATACCTGGACAAATGTACAAAGTCACGTCGCATTCAGATAAAGTCATTTTAATTAAAACTTGACATTTATATTTCATATTTTCCCACATGGAATCAGAGAATCATGAAGGCTGGAAAAGACCTCTAAGATCCCCAAGTCCAACCCCAACCCACCCCACCGTGCCCACTGCCCACGTCCCTCAGTGCCACATCCCCACAGTTCTGGACCACCTCCAGGTTTGGTGACCCCACCACCTCCTGTGCAGCTGTGCCACTGCAGCACTGCTCTTCATGAGAATAGATTTGTCCTAACATCCAACATGAACCTCCCCTGGCACAACTTGAGGCCTTCGTCTTTCATCCTATCTCTACTTACATCCAAGAAGAGGCCTAATATTGTGCAGTCCATTGGAAAGAAGCACCTTATACATGATTTACGGGTTCCCTTTAAAGATACTGCTACCAAAGACAGCTTGAACAGCATTACAGCATTGAAAGTGAGACTGTGAGTTTCATCTGACATTGTTCTAATCTGGGAGTTAGAGAGCACAGCACCAAGAGCAACATACATGGAGGAAGCACAGTTTAGGCTGGGGATTGATTTAATGAGTTTTCATAAAGTCTTCTGTGTCAAAAGCCAACTTCTGAAAGCCTCAACTAAAACATCTGTCTAACGCCATGAGCAGCATGCAGCACCTTGTTCTCTTCCCACATTCATTGCTTGCACTCCCTCTGAAGTTACCCAGCAGAACTGCACTCTGTGGCTGCCAGAGAGCATTGCCACCACCTCTACACACTGCCACCTCTGCATTCTTTGCCTCTTTCACCTCTGACATTCACATGTCTAAATCCAACTGGAGGTGGGAGGTGACAATTTTGTTTCAGGAAAACTTCTGAATTTGGGGCTGGAACAGAAACGTATCTTTCAGCACCTTCACAAAAATAGTTTCAAAACACCTATTCTCAGATCCAAAGTGCAGGGAAATGTCTGCAAGAGCTGAGACTGGCATGGGAGATCCATGTGTTCAACTTCCCCACTATTCTAATTCACATTAGAAACCCTACATAAAATTACTCTGAATATGTAAGTGCATACAAGAGCAAACCCTGACTCCTCATATCCTAAGCTGGTGTGCTAACTGTGCTCATTCTGAGGAGAGAGATTATTGAAACTATGTTAAAAAGTGTCTCAGAAATATAAACGTGTATATTTATATATAAATATACATAACTTCATTAATTGTATCCAGTGAAAATAGCGATGTTTTGCATTCCAAGGAAAAGACCTCATGAAATGGCAGCTCTCGATGTGAACACCACAACTCAGGGCTCAGGCTGCAGAAGTCTTTTTTGGGCGATTTACGTAACTAAAAACAAAAGACAACATTGCAAACTGATTTAAAGGACATTTTTCCTCTGTGCAAAGGTGCAGCATAAGCAGCTCCATCAGCTAACTCACCGCTAAAGATCCACACGTGCCCATAAAGCAGGTGTTAACCAGCCCTTGAATTGATCTCTTCAGGTTGCAATGAGTTCCACTGCCAATACACAGATTCTTTTAAGATATAAACAATCGTTAATTGTCTGTATCAAGATCAGAGACTGGAAAAAATACGAAGCTGGCATTTGCACTGCTTCATGCTTGATTTCATTTGCTGGTGGAATGACTTAAAGAATCGGGTCTGCAGATTCATCTGTCAACTTGTCCCCACTAAACACCACTCCTGACAAATTCACTAGCACACACACATCTAGATACTGCAGCCTGAACTACAAGTCAAACCTTCAGGAAATCCATCACAACACAATTAAATCGATTATGAATGGCAGCACAAAGCAAAGAATCCAAGAGCCACGATTGAACTGATCCAACGCTCCTGGGCATAACTCAGCTGACACGGACACAAAACCAGAACATGCCTTACCTGTGTAGTGCACCACACACGTCTGCCCCTTCTTTGGGAACGTCCGTCCTGTTAAAGTGATAACAGGTTATTGTATATTTTGCCTTTGATCCCTGTAACTACACAGGTGTGTATTTCAAGAAGAAAATGCCAGAGTGAGATTTGTGTCTTATCAAACCACTGATACAAGGGGCAGGAACTGGTAGGGTATGGGCAAGAACGTTCCAGCTTGGCTAAGCTGTTAGACCAAATCTTGTTTTACTCACACTAAGTTAACTTTCCCTGTATCTGTGTGTGCATAGTATGCATTTACATTCCCAACATGCAAAAAGACTGTCAAAACTTCGTGGATTGCAACTTGAAAATTCTCAGAATGTCTTTGTCATTATTTTTTCAAATAAAGCCTTAGTTTGACATTGTAAAAATATATATATATATATATATATAAATTAAAAAAAAAAATCCATCTGTATTCCCTGGGCAGCCTATTGCAGTGCTTAACAGCCCTTTCTGTAAAGAAGTGTTTCCTGATATCCAACCTAAACTGACCCTGGCACAACTTGAGGCCATTTCCCCTCATCCTGTCACCAGTGAGAAGAGACCAGCCCCGCTCTGCTGTAAGCACCTTTCAGATACTGGAAGAGAGCAATCAGGTCTCCCCTCAGCCTCCTTTTCCCCAGGCTGAACAGCCCCAGCTCCTTCAGTCGCTAATGTTAATGTTGTAGTATTGAGCTATGGTAGAGCAGGGAGATGCTGAATCCTTATGTGAGCCTGGCAGCTCCCCCTAAAACATTCATCCCAAAAGGAAAAGAAGGTTTACCTCATTTCCTTAATGAAAAATGGAATTACTGTTTTCATGTTACCTGCTCCAAGTACTGCAGGCTGGGGGAAGAACTGCTGGGCTCATAGAGGTGTGGCTGCACACTGGCTCAGCTAACCTTAATCTCAAAAGCAGTGCTGGCCAGGGGAGGGCCAGCAAGGGGAGACTCAAGAACTTAGGAAGTATAAATGAGACAAATGATTAATGAACAGCATTGTCATAAAGCCAGAAAATAGGGATTCAAATAGAAACTAAGGCTTGTTCGTATCTTACTTGGTTCCTTGGCCTCCTTAGTCTGTCTTTACATGAGAGCAAGTTATGCAAAATATTGTGTACATCAGCTAACAACACAAGCTGTGCATTCAGGACTCGTGTGCTCAAACCACTAAGCAAGCAGCAGGGGGAACAGGCCAACACAGAGAGCCGTATCACGCAGTGAAGAAGATGGTGCTCCCGAGCATCATCGAACACCCTGAGCAGCAGCCTGCATGCATCTGCAGCCCCTCCAGCTGTAGTGCAACAGACAACCGAGAGAAATGTTCAATATCTCCTTATTTGGGATAGCAGCCGGTTTCCAAAGATGTCAGAGCTCACACGTAGTGCTGCACTCGGAGCCCCACGGTGCCCACACGGCGTTCAGATCCCACACCTGTGCGCCCATCCAGAGATAAGAGCACGGAATGAGAGGGCAGTTTAAAGGCACACATGGAGGAAGCAGAGAGAACGGGCCGAGAAAGTTACACCGGGACGGAGTTCAGCGAATTGCGTCGAGCCGAGGGTGAATGTGGGCTTGAGACGGATGGGGATGGTGGCACCTTAGGGGCTGCGGTCTCGTAGAAATAACAAAAAGCAGAGCTAGGAAACGACAGAGCAGCCTGAGCGCGGCTCTGCAAGGGCGATGCCGCTCCCAGCCGGGTACCGGCTCCGGAGGAGGGATGGATGCTGCCCTAAATGGCCGCCCGCCCCCGGGAGAGCCGGCAGAGCGCCGGGCAAAGTTTGAGGCGGGGCGGTGCCGGCCTCACGAGCCCCAATTACCGCCACAGCTCGGCATCGTGCAGCTGTCGGCGGATGCCAGAAGAAAATCCCCTCGCCGCCTCCCCCCCCTTCCCCGCAACCCGGCGCTCCGGACACGGCTGCCTCCCGGTGCCGGAGCTCCGCCCGACGGGAGCCCCCCACAGCCGGGCACCGCCGCCCCCCGCCCCGCAGGTCTGCCCTCCGCCCGTTCCCCGTTGCGGCACGTACCGTCTCCCGGAGAGATGGTCTCGATCTCCACTCCCATCTCGGCGCTGAGCTCCGCTCGGCAGCCCTGGGCACGGCTCGGTTCGGCGCGGCCGGACCCCCAGTGCAGGCATGCCCCTCCGCGGCCGGCTGACTGGGGCCTCCCCTGCTGCCCGTCAGCCGCCCGCAGCCAATGCAGGGCAGGGGCGGGGAGGCAGGGGAGGGGAGGGGGGCCGCCCGCCCCCACCCGCAGATCCCCGGGGGCGCGGGGCTGCTGTGCAGTGCGGCGAGGTGCAATGCTGTGCTGTGCTATGCTATGCTATGCTATGCTATGCTGTGCTGTGCTATGCTATGCTGTGCTATGCTGTGCTGTGCTGTGCTGTGCTGTGCTGTGCTGTGCTGTGCTATGCTATGCTGTGCTATGCTATGCTGTGCTGTGCTGTGCTGTGCTGTGCTGTGCTGTTCAGCGCGGGGAGGGCAGCGGCACCTCCGCCCTCAGGCACCGCCCTCAGCTTTAAAGAAGAAAATGTGTGTGTGTATTCCGTAGGTGCTCCCATGATGTGAGATCGCAAGTACATTTGCCTTTGCAAGAGGCTGCAGCTGCTTCTGGTGGATTGGAGAATCGTAGAATCATTAAGGTTGGATGGACCACCAAGGTCATCTAGTCCAACCATCATCCTGGGCCTGGGGCTGCCTGCACTGCCACATCTCCGTTGTTCTTGAACACCTCCAGGGACGGTGATCCACGACCTCCCTGAGCAGCCCACTCCAATATCTCACCAATTTGAGAATAAATGTTTCCTTATAACTGAACCTAAACTGAACCTCCTCCAGCGCAACTTGAGGCCATCATCTCTCATCCTATCGCTGTTACCCAGGAACAGGGGCCAACCCCCACCTCGCCACAACCTCCTTTCAGGAGTTTTAGAGAGCAGTGAAGTCTCTCCTGAGCCTCCTCTGCTCCAGACTGAACAATTCCAGTTCCCTCAGCTGCTCCCCATAAGACTTGTGCTCCAGACCCCTCACAGCTTTGTTAGATGTACTTGAGGTAAATGGAAAAGACTGTTTCCTGGTAAACTATTGTGTATGTGAACCTTGCAGTTCCCACGCACTCAAAATAAATAGTTCTGTTTGCAGTCCTGTCTGCTTTGAGTAAACAAAGGCCAGGTTGGATGGGGCCCTGGACATCCTGCGCTGGTGGATGGCAGCCAGCCCATGGCAAAGCACTGGAACTTGATGGACTTTAAGGTTCCTTCCATCGTCTGTCATTCTATGATTCTAAGCATATATTTTAAAATATTCATTATCACAGATATTGAACAACAGACAGTGTTGTTGTTTCTCACCTTATTGTACTCACCAGTGATGTTGAGGTCCTCAAAGATACTGGTGTTAACAACTGCACAGCAGATGAAGACCTTTGAAGAGAAAGCTGAAGCAAGGAATGTCCCATATCTTCAGGAAAGCCTCTGAAATACAAGGGAAAATGGTTTAGGATTGGCAGAGGATTGGAGGAGAGGTAAAATAAACAACAGGGCCAAAAGGGAAAGTCTTTGAATGACCAAGAGAATGACTAAAACCAAGTTGGAGAAGTAGGAGATTAATGTTTTAAAGAACACTCTTTCAGAGCTACTGCATGACGCCCACCTCCTCCTCTGTTGGGAGCTCCGTGCCTCAAGTATAAAGTCCACTACTGTCAGCTTTCAAGGTTCTGCAGAGCTCACCTTCTGTAGAGTTCGCATTCTCACGATGCATCTTTCTATCCTGGCAACAAAAACGGCAGCCTGGAAAAGCCTAGGAAAGCTCCTTCCCAGGTATGATGATGGAACCATGTGACTCCAACTTCTAACCTTCCTCAGTGGTCACAAAATGCTCACAGTCATTGTGAGGTTTTTTTCAGAAACCCCAAATCTCAGAGTTTAACAGCAGAATATTTCATTTTCTTTATCTTAAACCCCTGCAGCTTGTCTGTTAGAAACTGCATTTCCACTTCTAGGAAAACAATCAGTTTTTAGAATTTCAGAGTGTTTTAGTTTCACCCATCGTTTACTTCATCGTGTCTATATTGTAAAATCCCATTCTTCACTGTTTTTAAAATCTACAAAGGCTCTACAAATCACGGGTGATAGATTCCATATGCGCACAGAGGGCCAAAGCACTAAATTGCCCGTAAATGGAAAGCGTAAATCCTGCAAGTATACAAATTCATAGATGTCACAAACAAAAGAAACAACAAACAGACGACAAACACCAGCATCCTTGGAGAAGATCTCACGGTGCTTTCATGGCAGTCATGGTCTTGTCTTGATCTTCAAAGGCCGAGGTGAAGTCACCTTGGCTATGCACAGGGAAGAGCTGCGGCTCATCAGGATTCACACCACTAAAAGCTAGACACATTGGTTTCTAGAGCAATGAATTTGATGGTTTGTGCTTAGAAATGGAGGCAAATATTCCACAACTCGGGACTTAAGAGAGGGAAGAGATTAACGTAATTTACCACTTCCAAAAAATGTTGGGTTAAATGAATGTCTGGAACTGAACTCACTCTTTCCCAAGCTACTGTCTCCCCAGTAAAACACCCTGACATGGTAGAGCCAGTTCAGAAAAGGGTTCCCAGCATGGATAGGGCTGGAGGATGTAGAGAGAATGAGGATCTGGGGTTGTTCTGCATAAGACAAAGCTAGGGAAGGACCTCCACTGCTGTCTGCAGTTCCCTCATAGGGGTGGAGGTGCATAGCAGAAGGGTGAGAGGCAATGGACACAAGTCACAAGGGAAGTTCCAACACAAGGGAACTCTTCACAAGGTGAGTTACCATACAAAGCTTTGGGGAACCTGACCAAACCTTGGAAATAGCTGGTGCACCAAGCAGTTGCACCATATGGCCTCCCTTCCCTTCAACTGCCTTATGAGCCTGTAATATTTTTCCCATAGAATGAGGAAGAGAAGGAAGAAGAGCAATGGTAGTGAGGTGAACTGCACAGTGTTAATCTTAGGCTGAAGAAATGCAATTACAACTCACAGCTCTGGAACAGACTGAGTGCATCGCTAAATCACTTTGCTTATGTTTGCAATGCATAATACTCCAAACTGGCTAATATGCCTACTGGGCAATGTACAATGGTACGTGTAAAAAGTAGAGGGCATTTCACATGCCATATAAATCTGAAACAGCAGCATCCATCCGGCCAATTAGCACTATGTAGATTGTTGCATGGATGTGCTTCACTGCCTGCCATTTGGAAGCCAGCTTGCTGAACTGAAGTTCTACTCCAAATTGCTCTGTGCCACGGTATTACCCCTATGTAATGAGGATGATAATTCTGCCTCGTCTGTTTAGATTGCAAACAGTTGAAGAGCAGAGGTCCTCTTTTATAATAAATAAATGTAACGGCTTGGGGCCCAAAGACTAAACCCAGGGTCATGCGGTGTGCTCTCACAGATAAAACTTCTCATATTAACAATATCACATGCAGACAGCTCAGGGGGATTAACATTTCTCTTTCATCCAATCTTTCATAACAAAAATAAAAAGGGATAAAAAGAAATGTAAGTGTCTTTCACGCTGAACAAAACAGAACTGGAATCCTATCTATAAACAGTACACCAATTATTCCAGCTCTGTCATTTCCTCGCCATGGAAGCGACAGAGGGATCACTCTGAGAATCTTTGTATTTACAACGCAATACATTTACTGCTATCTCCCAGTAAAACTCTTTTCTCTATAGTTTTGATATTTATTCTGCATTGTGAGGAAATGTCACTGGCTAGACGTGTTGGAAACAGTTCAAACAACAGGAGAAAACCAAGCAGACCGCAAATATTAGCTACAAGCTCCTGATTAGTCTTCTGATGATTCTGGAAAATACAACTGAGGAAAAGAAATTAACTGGCATTCTCAGTCCTCCAGATAAATGAATCAAGGGAGATGAATAATGGATTCAGAAAATTAAGGCTCTATTTGTTTTCCTTCATTCTGCATGTGAAATTATAACGCTGTTTAATGAGTTTCTAGAACCTCCAGACCAAAGTGATTTGAAGTTATAAAGAAAAGACCCGGAGGCAGAAAGGTAGACCCAGCAGGTCTACCATAGACCTGTGTCCAAACAGCACAGATGGACAGCAGCAGGATGTTAGCAGTCTTTAGTTATTATGCTTGTATTCGACAACACTCACTGACCTATTTGTCTGTATTGGTGGGGAGAAACAGGGGAGTCCTAGGAAGAACTAGCAGGAACTTTTCTAGGGAAGACCAAGCCAAAGGTGATTTGTTACAAGGGTTTCCAAATACAGCTGGGAGGCAGCTTTGTTCACATCCTTCTGAAAATGGGCTTTCATCATCCGTAAAGCAGAACACTTCTACCAGTGAAGGCAGCAGTGAAGCTGTTCACGTTGCATTCCATCGGAAGCGTTATCTTCATACGCATGCCATACTTGAAGCAGAATGACATTCTGAGAGAGACCTGGTGATCCCCCTCAATCAATATTCTCAACCACTGCTTAACTGCTTGAAAAAATACTGGAATCCATTTGACTCAGAAGCAGCCAATTTTGATACACTTTATTAAATTTGCTTCCTAGTGCACTTTTCAAAGCAGATGTTGCCAAGAGTTTGACTTGGTCTGCAGTGTCAATGAACCAGTTTTGATACAGGGTTATATCAGAGTGCTACTGTCCTGGGTACCGTCCTACGGTATACAACCATAAATTGCTTTCCCAGTACACATTCTAAGTGGCCTTTGCAAATTATCCATCTAGGACCAGTATATACCTTCTGTTTGCTTCATTGTGTGCAATGGAAAATATTAAGAGATATTTCCTTAAGAATAAATAAATGTAATGCTTGTGAAAGAAGAAGACTGGCACTATTTGGAAGCTGAATGCCGACTTACAGATGGAAAGACCTATTAGATCATTCCTTCCCCCTCTTTGCCAAGAAAGGAATGTTTTCTAAAGAACATTTCATACTCTTCTTCCTACTCTAATTTTAATAACATAAGTGCTGGAGTTTCTATCACTTTCCTTGAGATTCTATTCCACATAAACGTTGCTTAAGTTCAGAAATATTCATTTTTGAGAACAATTTGGAAAAACTCGTGGCTGCTTTGTGCAGCAAGCACAAGAGGCTGGCATATACAGATAGTGGTGTGAGGCAGAGGGGCATTCAGCACTGGGCAAGGTGTGGGTAGGAAGCATGCAGCTCTAGAAAGAGCTGTCAGTGGGCTGATCATTGATAAGTTTGCTAGCTGTAACAGACATGCATGTAATGCCTACCTGGCATTCATCTGCCCATAACCACGTCCTATCTAAGTACATCAGCTGGACTGATAAAGCAAGAATCATTTGTCTGTTTTAGTTACCTTAGAGTGGAATGAATCGTGCCCTAAAAAGGTTGATTTCTCACTAATAATTTTTAAATGAGTCAGTAAGCAGAGGGTCAGACTTAGACAACCGTGCTGTTTATGCCAGTAGTTGTGTCAGAAAGGTGAGGCCCAGCTCATTTGCCCCATGGGAGCTTGGGTTCTATCTTCCTGTAGGCAGCTATATGTACATACCTCAACTTCAGCATATTAATTTGGGAGATGAATCCCATCCCCACAATTAAAAGTGAGCTGAATCTCATTCTCTGTGATTGTGTTTGCACAACTACCCTCTACGTGCCTTCCTTCCTAATTCCTCACCTATTTTGCTTTAGCATTGTGAAAGGCACAAAAAAGTTGAGCCCAACAGTCTGGGTAGGAGCAAGAATGAAGTGTCCTTCCAGAATGCTCTGGTTCTCCTCCCCCAGCCCCATGGACCGAAAGCTTCACCTTGAGACACAAGAAGCTGTGACATCCATGCCTGGATTCTCCTTAGTTGAATATAGCCTGCATAGAAAAGCTCAAGGCTTTACTTTAAATAATAATTTACATAATGTTTTGAAATTAAGGAGGCTTACGAACAGTTTGCTTGAACAAATTTATTTAAATAACAAAGAGCTCATTGATTCTTTCCCACTTTACCTGACACGTACCTTGCTAGCAAAAAAAGAGCAGCTGAAATCCTATTTGGTGAGCAGTAACAGCACCCAGGCATAGCTCTGTCAGAAGGATGCTGATTTACATCGTGTGATCAGTAGATCTGCTCTGATGGATTACGTATTTTGTATCTTTATTAACTGCACATCATTCTCACATTCTGTTCCAGTCAGCTTGTGACAGATAACTGTTTTTTAGAATCAGAACTCGAGGAAAAGAAATGTCAATGTGGAAAAATAAATACATTACTCAAGCTTCTTGAAAGTATTGAACTCAATGACACATCAACTTAAATTGGTGAAATTATGGTGGGTAGCTTTAAATAGAAATGTTTTTGAAGTAGAAATATCACAAAGCATTAGATATTTTATATGTTTGAGTTAAATTACTATTAGAAAAATTATTACTGTTATGTTTTCATTACATATTGTGCTGGATCTGTCTTCCTTTGAAGTCACCAGGAATATTAACATCAATTTAATTAACTCGAAGCAAGATTTAGCCCAGAAGGAGTTATTTTACTATGAATAAAGGAGAAAATGAAGTCCGAAGTCTCAGCATTTCCAGCAAGGCACTGAACTCTGATCCACAGAGATACTTATATACCTATCTTGCCCTAGACTGGAAATAGGCAAGGAAGTATATTTAAGAGCCTGCATCTCATTAGCTCTGATTCATATTGAATACAAAAGGTATTGAGAGTTTCCCAGGAGAGAGAGGTGAATAATGGGTACAGCAGTGTGAGAACACAGCACTATAAAATCACAACTGTAAAAAGACTATCACAACCTTTGCAACTATGAGGGCTGGTTTTGGTTTTCCATCACTCATTGTGAACTATGGGAACTTAACCCTGCTCTTCAACAGCTCTGTGCTGTTAACATAACTGTTAATGAACTCACCATCAGTGGACTGCGTTCAGTCTTAGACTTTGTGTGGTACTTCTAACAACCACTGACGTAGACTCAAAGGTGCCACCAGCTGGAACACCTTAGTTAAAGCAAAGCTAATCAGAGGCACAGTTACATGAATAGGATCAGAATCTAGCTCAGTATCAGTGTAGAGACTGTGACTGCTCAATGAACGACTCAGATTACTAATAAATTACTCTTCTTGCTGCTTTCTTGAGTCTCAAAGGAAAACTAAAGTATTGCCAGGGCAGCTTTCAATTGCCAGACTTTATTTCATACATTATATAGATCTATGTGTGCCAAGGTGACACAGGAATATTATTAAAATGTTTCACCCATTTCCAGAGAAATAGATGGATGGAATGAAAGGAACGTCCCCCTTACCAGTTGTATCTGAAATGGGAATGTGTCAAACAAAATCTCTTTCCTCTTTCATTCGCCTTCTGTCTGCATCTGGAACTTGATTCGATCCAGAGTACACTATTTCAGTTCTGTCCCCATGGTATCACTCCAGTTTTTTCCCTTTGTATATTTTACAAGTCTTCTGTTATTTAGAAAATCATTTAATGATGAACTCTGAAATGTCATCGTATCTCAAATTACTTTCCTTGTGTGTTGCATTTGTGGAGGTACTCAATGATTCTCTTTGCTCATTATTCTCTCCCACTCAAAAACCCACAGAATGAACCAGGGGAGGAAATTTTCCTTGGGATCCTCAAATGCTATGCCAATGGAGCTGAGTGTTCAAACTCAATTGCTAGAGAACAAGCCTCGTGGTCTGTCCAAACCCTGCAGCTCTCAAGGAAACACAAAGCCTTAGAAATTTACCAAAAGGCCAGAGCAAACTCTTCAAAGGTTCTGTGTCCCCATAGCCTGGCTCCCGCTGGCCTTGCCTTGAATTCACTGTATTTGTGTTACAAAGGTTCTCTGTAGGCACAGATCTCTGAATTGCCTTTGCTGCAAATGAACAGTGTAACTCCATGTCTCCTAAGCCCTTCTACTGATTGACTTCAGACTTTCCAGAAAAGTTCTAGTTCAGGATATGAAGATGTTCTATGGTAGGAAACAGGATAATTTTTACCTATTCCAGTCATCACTGCTGGCTTGTCCTTGATGAAGATAAAATATTCTGATTTTGAATGAAATGCTCATGAAATCATCTACAAAATGAAATGGCTGTAAATGACAATACAGCATGATTACTGTACATAAATTTGGGAGTTCCCTAGTGGTACTCACCATCTTCAGTAAAAACACTTTGAAAAAGGACGTTACAACAAATTTTCCAGCAGCGATCCAACAAGAAATCTCCTTTTGATAGGTGGTATACAAAGATACCTAAAGTATATATATAAAGTATTATAAAATATATAAAGTATTTGTGGGCACTATTGGTGGTAGGTAGATGGTTGGATTAGATGATCTGAGAGGTCTTTTCCAACCTTAAGGATTCAGTGATTCTAGAGTTCAGCCAAAGATACAGAATGCATATAGTTGCCTTAAACCTTTGGCTGTAGTTATTACATCCATCAGCTGAAAACCTTCTTTGCTCAGATATAATTTATTCACATTAGTCAAAATCAGTGTTTCTTTGCAGCTGCAAAATCTGATCCAGTACAATGAACATTAAAATGAACATTAATCAGATGTCTTCTTCGAGAACATTTGTCTTTTTTTTTTTTTATTTCACCTTTCTTCATCTTCCTATAATTACTAGCAGAGCAGAATGTAATTTCTTTTTTCTACCTTCATTTCATAGCCACTGAGGTCTTAGATATCTGAAATGTACTGTCCACTGGAGATTGCAATCTGCTTTGTGTAGCTCTCGGATATATTTAAATCTTTTTACCCTTCAAAGGCTGGTTGAAAGAAGTGTTAGGTCATTATTTCAGGCGGTAGCTTAATGCTCAGGTTTAACAGTATATGATCTCTCTCCACTGTTCACCAAAGACCTTCATTCAGTGAAGGTCAAGGTATTAGAATGCTATTTTTAAAGATACACCCAGCAGTAAAGAGTTAAAAATAGACTCCTACAAAAACGTCCAGTAATTGGTTAAACCTTGTTAGGCATCACATGAAGATGATAACTCCTCCCAGGAAAAGACATAGCAAAAGCAGCTTTGACATGGATTTATACTTAGAAGAGCAGCTGCAGGCTTACTGGGAAGGAGTTCACAAGACAGACTCTTCAACAACTAGCAGAAAAGGAAAAAAACAAAGCTTCATTCCGCAAAGGAAGGGAAGGAAATAGAAGGCATTTTTTTCCTCATCATGATCTGCAAATGAATTCCATGGATTCTCGTCTTTGGAACAATCACCAGTAGACAGAGAGCCTAAAAATATGGAGCTGGGAAAGGCGAAACTGCTGAGAACCGGCCTCAATGCTTTATACCAAGCCATCCATCCTGTGCACGGAATTGCCTGGACAGATGGGAAGCAGGTGATACTGACTGCTTTATACTACCATAATGGAGAGCTGAAGTTTGGAGACTCAAGCGTTGTTGGTCAGTTTGAACACGTGCATGGGCTTTACTGGGGCCCATGTTGCTCTACAGAGACCCCAGCTCTGCTTGCTGTTCAGCATAAAAAGCATGTTAGCGTTTGGCGGCTGGGCCACAGCACTGCGGAGAAAAACAAACCCTTGATTTCTCAGACTTGTGAAATCGGTGAGCCGTTCCCATTGCTTTCCCAGGGCTGTGTGTGGCATCCAAAAAAGGAGGTCTTGGCTGTCCTTACAAAAAGAGATGCTTCAGTCTTGCACACTGTTCGAACAGACAATAGCAGAGTTAAGGCAGATATCAAAAGCAGTGGGCTTATTCATTGTGCTTGCTGGACTAAGGATGGTAATCGCTTAGTAGTTGCTATAGGCAGCACCCTGCATTCCTATATATGGGATGATGCTCAAAAAACTCTAAATGCCTGCTCCTTTTGCCCAGTCTTTGATGTGGGAGGCTATATCTGTGCTATAGAAGCCACGCTGGATTTCCAAATTGCTGTAGCTACTGAGCTTCCTTTAGATAATATCTGTGGTTTGAACGCAGGCATTGCATTTGATATGCCATCTGGTGCTGAAACTAGTTCTTTAACCTCGCAGTCTACTACAGCACTTGGTGATGAAGAGTACTCCATGGACCTGCGAAGAAAGTCCACAGACTCTGACAGATCAGGCACTGTTGATTCAGTAGCTTCTTCTTCATCAGGTCCTTTGGATTTAACCCACATCCTTGCAAATCACCGTCGGTCTGATCCCAGTCCTCTCATTACTCTGAAACGCAAAGATTCTGCAGCAATGAATGGTCAAGATTCTTCTTACCTGATCTTGGTGACTTTTGAAAGGAAGGTAACCACCACCAGAAAAGTCAACATCCCAGGTATTCTGGTTCCTGATATAATGGCTTTTGACCTCAGAGCTCAGATCGTGGCAGTAGCCTCTAATACTTCTAACATTGTTTTGGTGTATTCAGTAACCTCTTCCTGCATGCCCCATATTCAACAAATCCAGCTGGAAAAAAATGAAAGACCAAAAGGCTTATGCTTTTTGTCAGATAAACTCCTATTGATATTAATTGGGAAGCAGAAATTCCCTGAGCCGAGTGTTATTCCATCTTCAAGTTCGGACAGGTATGTAATGCGCCTGATGATCAAAGAACTGATGCTGGAAGAAGATGCTTCAACGCTGCCAGACACGAAGCAGCATATGCTTTATAACTTTGTATCATCTGTGAACATACCTGGAAAAAGAAAGTTCTTTGAAAACCTTGCCACAGAAGACCAACATCAAAGCAGAGACCTGTTAATACCAAGAAGTACAGTTATTCAATCTCCCAGCGGCAGGAGAAGACTCATCGAAGAAGCGAAGAGCCCTAGTTATGAGCAGAGCTCTTCATCAAGTGTTAGTGACTTGGATGAGAAAAAGCTCCCAGGTGACCCCTCTGTTGCCTTAGAAACTTTGGATGCTGAACCTATCAATCGTTCAATGGCTCTTCTTGGTTTTGGAACAGCTACCAGGCTTTCCAGCAGACCAGCTGCCCCTAAAGTGCAGTTCAATGTAATTGAGGAAACATCGAGTTCTCCTAAAAACAACAATTTGCCAGGTGAAAGAGGCATGAGTCACATATCTAGAAATTTAGAGAGACTCTGTGGCAGTTTCAATGACTTACAACTGAGTCTTTCTGAAATAACAGACTTTGCTAAAAATGGGAGAAGGGTATCTTTAGCCTACCCAAGTTCACAAGAGCCACCGGTCATTCATATCACTTACCAGGTAAACTTTTCTTCAATTTAGAAACACTGTGATGGGGCACTGATGTTTTACACTATCTTTTATTTGTATCACTTAAAAGCAAGAGGATGCAGTTTGATTCTTGTCAACTCATGAGAAATGTAAACTGAGTTTGGCATCAAGCTTAGTTTTAAATAGTATTATGATTTAAGCTTAGTTTTAAATGGTATTATGATTTATTATTGAAACAGTAACTAAGGATGTTGTGAGTGACTTAGAGGATATTTCACACAGGAGGTCTGTGTCTTCTTTCCACAACTTCGTAGCAAAAGTCTTGCATAGTAGCTGATTCTGGGTGCAGCTATGAAATAAGAGAACAGCTATGCAGTTACTGATGTACAAAAAATATTTATGTGCTAGCTTAGTGTAGAGATGAGCCTACAAGTAGCCATAATTAGACATCCCTGCTAGAAACCTGATCGATTCAAACCTAAGCTCAAATCCAAAATTTGAACGTAACTGGACTCTCATGAAGGCTGAAGCAAAGTAGTGAATCTCAATTTATGGACAATTCAGATGCAGATGATACAAAGTTGGCTTATTTCTGCTTGTCTTACTGCTAGTCTTCACACAGCTGGACATAATCAATTTGCAAGTTTTATCACTTCAAATTTTCAGAAAAAAATCTGCCAGTATGTAATTATCATTTCATTAAATAAAGATCTGAATGTCAAATCAAATTCCTACCCCACCCTTGTTTTGGCAAAATTCCTACTGGCTTCAATAAGAATTTCAACTTGGGAACATAGCAATAATTTCTTGCTATAATTCTTAGCATTATTAGCAGTAATACCGATATTATACTGATAATAGTTTTGGTTGTGCTAATACTCATTGTGTTGCTGCTAAAACTGGGATTCCTTACAGGATGTTGATGCCAATTTCAGATGGATTCTTATCTATTACAAGATGAGCAGAATTATGCCAAGTAATACATTTGTTTCACAGTGACGATGCCAAAGTACCTGTTTCTTGAACAGATTTGACTCACAGCTATACAGCCTCCTTTCACTTGGAAGGATAACACAGACATCTAAATATCCCTCCTTAAACACTCATTAAGGGAACCGTGACTCCATTCAAAAATATTCATTAGTTCTTAGCAATTGTTCACTTGGCATTTTAGCAGATTCTTGTATGCTAAATAGACTGGATAAAAACAAAGCTTTTGATCTGAATTAGCACCATAACTTTGATATATTACATGAATTCTGGTGAAAAAAACAAGATGCCTTTTGAAAATAATTTAGGATTTTGTTTGACAAGAAGCATGCTCTTCTGTTCTCCAGCATGTTCAAATGAATACTGTTTTCTTAATACAAATCAATTTATTTATTTTACAAGCAGCTCTATCTCTTGGATTCGATAGGATTAACCTTTCCAAAGAAAAGTTCTGGTTGTGACACCTAACATTAATCTGAGATCTGAATTCACTGTGCACGTGTTGACTTACACATGCAGTAAGAAATAATTTTCCAGTTTATCTCTTTGGGAATAAGACAAAGACAATAAAACCAGCAGCCTAAGATACTGCCAGACTGACTACATTTAGAAGAGCAGTCTCTTATTTCTCTAAGCAGGTTAATTTTGCATTGAGCCAGAAGAAAGCCCCTCTAGTACTACATTATAATGACTCAGAAAAAGTGCCACTTCATGGCTTTCCAAAACACATAGCTTTTCTGTTTGAGCCTCACTTAATAGCTCCGCTTCTCTTCTGAAGTCTAACAGGATCACAAAATGATGCCAAAAGATAATGAAAAATAGACTGACGGCAAAAAGGTCTCCAGGCAGAGAAGGAAATATTTGCTTTGTAGGCAGCTAATAATTTTTTTTCAGAAAAAAGTTGTTTTGATTAGTTTGCATTGAGACATCTGAACCTTGATTCTCCTCCAGGAGTTGATTAGCGCTCCAGGAGCTCAGAGAGCAGCTGGGCTGTGGGTTCCAGCCAGGCACTGTTCACAGTGCAGAGTCAGGAAATAGCTTTATTGCCTTATGATATAAATATCAGCCAGTGGAAAACATTCTAAACTTCAGGAACACTGCAGTCCAGTCCATAATATGGCCACTATCTGTCAATTTTTGGTGCCAAGTCTGCGTCTTCTTAAGTGTTTGCATAATCCCCAGCACAGCAGAGGCCCAATCTTGATTGAGAAATCCTTTGTTCTATTAAGTATAATGATCGATACTACATAACCACATTTACACATTACAAATGTAAAAGTTTAAAACATTATGGAAAAAAAAAAAAAAGCAGCTGTAATTAACGGTCAGTTATGAACACTGCTGTGCAGAAGCAGTATTAACGTCCAGAAAGATTCCAGTTCTGCTTAGAAAACCCTAACATAAACCAGAATGTATGTTACTTAATAATTCATAATATCTGCTTACTAAATAGTCTTCAAAACCTTTGTTTATCCTGTTACTGTCAGCCTGCCCATAATTTCTCTGAAGTCACGTCCATGCAGCGCTACCAGAATTTATACGCTTTGTAGCTCACGGCCATAAAAGAAAAACATGATCACTCACACTTCGGAAATGTCACCGCACTATCACTTGTGTAATAGCATTCAGCCACCAGAGGTGATTTGATCATTCAACCCTGAAAAGCAAATATTATTGCTCTTTCATCACATACAGACTTGTGATTCAGGCTCGCGTGGGAGGGCAGACAGACAGATGCAATAAGAAGATACTATTTAACAAGAAAAAAAGAAGTGAGGGAATTTATTTCTGTTTCATTTTGCAAAAAAAAGATACTTTTCTTATCCATTTTCTCATCCATCTCCCAGAAAAGAAACAGCTGCAGAATATTTAAACTAGCCTCATTCAAAAGCTAATTACAGTGGAAATAAAGCCAATCTGGATTTGAAAATAATGGCATTGAGGCAAACCTCTCCAGAAGGAGTCAGATTCTTTCTTATCTGAGGAGTATCGTACAACTCCTATATTTTGCTCACAAGCAGCACTGTGTCAAAAATCTGTATTGCTGAAAGCATGTATTTCATGATTAAACTGGAAATAAACTTCTTTTCAGCAATCACCAGGATTTCCCTTTCTTAACTTTGGCCAACAATTGTATATAAATCAGTTTGTCCTTCTCTGATATCTTTCTATAAATCACTATAGGAAATTTTATCTACAAGGTCAGCTGTGAAATAAAAGTTTTTATGCAGAGCTGGGAGATGAATAGAAGGGGTCCAAACACATCCCACTAATTTTTTATTTTCTTTTTAATACAAATAAATAGAGTAGAGATAAAGGAGGAGGACTGCACAATGGTGACAGGAAAGTAGGCAAAGACATAAGGAGAAACTTGAATGATCAGTTATAAGAAGAGCATGAACCTCCTGAAAAACCAAAAGGCAATTTTGGCTTGAGTTGAGCAATAGAAAGAAAGTCATGAAAATGATGGAAGAGGAAGGTGTTCTGACTGCTCCCCAGAGTAAGAACTAGTCATCTCGAAGTTTAGAAGGGAGAGATTTAGGAGGACCATAAAAGACCTGCAGTAGCCAAGACGAGGTGTGATTAATGCATGGACAACATTTTGAGCAAAGATTGGAGGATCTGTTAAGAACAAATTCTGATGACACTGCTATGAAAGTGATCAATAGCAGACAAGCAGGGTCTGCACAGGAGATGTGACACCTTTTATTAGGCCAGATCATTTGGTTGTCAGATACATAGACGCAAAAGAGAAAGGAATATGTAATGTCAAAACCGTAGCCAAGTTTTTGTACTGAAAGAAAGTTAAGATTCAAGTTTTTTCTTTTTTTTTTTAAGAACAGCTCTCGAAGATCAGGAAGCACATGATGAGGGAATAAAGTGCATCTTAGATAACGAGGCACCAAAACATTAATTGTAGAACTATCAGCAGGGAGCCAAGAGCAGAGAAGTCCTAGCGTTGTATCATCGGAAGAGCTGAAGTCCTTCTGTGTGCTATAAATGCAAACTGCACTGGGATTTGAGCACCCCTGAGCACCTCAGGTCTCTTCTAAACATTTGACCGGCTTATACTTCTCTCACATTTTATAGGGTCGCAGTTGGAATGTCTCACTTAAGGGCTTGTGGGGATACTGAGAACTCCACCAAAATAAAATCAGGATCTGCCAAAAGCAGAACTCATGGAAATGGAAGCAGCCCAGGCAGTCTGGACTGGTACCTGTAGCAATGCTGCACAAAGCTTCCAGACAGGCAGTGCCTTGAATATCAGAAATCACAATTCTTATTCCTCTTCAGTGCTCTTCCTCAGCCATACAATTATCTTTTATTGTCTTCTTGGTCGGATCTCTCATGTTTATATGATTTGACAGCTGTCTTGCATCCCACACAATGAGTGCGGGGGCAAAGCAAAAGCAAGCTGACTGATAGGTACTAAGGCATCACAACTGAAGTTGCAATGAAGCACAAACCAAAGAGCTGAAATCGAGGGTGTAAGAAAAAGAAAACAGAGTTCTAGGCAACTACAGCCCTTCTTCATCTAACAGTGCATAGATAGGACTGACTAACCTGATACTTCTCCTCTATAAAAGAACAGATTATGAACACAAAAGATATGAAGAACATTTAAAATATCTGTGGTTCAACACAGCACTCAAAATTGTGCTGTAGGGAAAATTATTGGTTTGACAGAAGAGAATTGGGATTAATAGAAGTGTAAGATGGTTACCTGCTTTAGCAAGGGGTTTGGACTCTGATCTCTCGAGGTCTCTTCCAACCCCTATGATTCTGTGGTTCTGTAGTTAAAAATTGGCTGGGAACTGTATAGGACATGATTGTGGTATTATAAAAGAAAATGGAATAAATTTACTTATGGATTTGCCTATGATCGATCTTCAGGCTAATCTAAAAGTTTCATAGAATCATAGAATAACCTGGGTTGAAAAGGACCACAATGATCATCTAGTTTCAACCCCCCTGCTACGTGCAGGGTCACCAACCACTTTTGTGATAAGCTATTAGAATCTCTTGATGGCCTAATGTTGGTAGTATTTTCAATAAGGATCAAGATATCACACCTATAATTTGATGTCCTTAACATCTAGAATAATAAAAATGGATTGAAATGAACTGGTTTGAAGTGCATAGTGGAAATACCAGTATTGAGAACAAAAATTGATGCTGTAAACTGGAAACTCACTGTCTGGAAGCAGCTGAGAAAGAGAAAGGCTTGCATGTGTTAAGTGAATGCAAGACAAGTGTCAATCAGGAAGATGATAAGTTTATGAAAAGAATAAAGGCAGTTTTTTAATACACTGGGGAGGTATACGCAGAAAGAAACGCAGTGTGAGGCTTCATCTGGAGTTTGCATTTCTAGACATCCATGCGCAAGAAAAACGTTCAAACTGCATGCAATTACTAACCCAATGTCAGTACAAAACATTTTTGGGTGGTAGTACCATGAAGGATATCACAGTTTCATCAGTCATTGAATTTAAGTTCACAAAGATGATCTTTGCATCCAGGTAATTGTAGGCTGTGAGTTAGAAAATGAAAGATACGTAGACAGAAGGCCCTGGGGGCAGAATTGGCTGGCTGCTCAGTGGGATGCAAACAAAGCAATAAAAGAAGGCTATTTATTATGCAGTCATAGAGTGTACAGCACCTAATCCAGGAACCTTTTTGGTTTTTTTGGGGTTTTTTTTTTTGGCCTTAATAAATTATTTTCTTCCCATATATATTTGTATTCTAAAACAAGAATTTTGAAAGACAGATTGGCAACACTGTGACCGGCTGGCTGCAGCCCAGAAGATCCTTTGTAGGCTATAAAAAATGATCGAGGGGCAGGCTGACACAGATGAAGGAAAGCAGTTGTTGAATTGATGGTTTGTTTCTGTTGGATTTTTGTTGAGGGAGGGTTGGACCTGAAAGACTACAGGAATTTGGCTACAGAAATTTTATCTGAAAGTATCCGCTCGAGTATGTGGAAATATATTTGTTTATTCTGTGGTTAATGTGTGCTAAGTACACCAATAAACTTTGATTTAGAATGAAACAACCAACAGTAAGGGCTTTAAATATGAAATCTTCAAGTCCTCGTCTGCTTCTGCTGGAGATTAACAGCAGCACTGCAAAACAGATACATATTTTAGGAAGTGGACAATTAAATTTAGAGTTGACCAGAAAATTGTTGTTGGGTTAAGGCATGAAAATGGCAAGTACTAAAGTGAGATTTCATTTGTGCTTCTAACTTTGTCACAAATTACCTGCATGACCTTGAGTAAATCTCTTAATCTTCTGGTGTAATGGTTTGATCTTCTATAAAAAGAGAATAAAAGCAGTTACACAGCTCTCAAGAAAGCACACGTGGGTGAACATACTCCTCAAAGAGAAATGTTATCATCACTTAAAGCAAACGTTAAACAAAAGAAACTAACAAACAGAAGAGAGAAAAAGAAAAAATCTTGAGCAGAGAGAATTTGTCAGCAGACAAAAATAAAATGTAACTGTGATCACGTTTAACGTGATGAGCAGGAGTATGTGACAAAGACAGAAGAATCGATATGAAGGCCCCAAAGAGATGAAAGACAAGCACCTCTGAAATGTAAGCTTTGATGTCTGTACTTGAAAAACTGCAGAACCATAGGAAAGGATAAAAACGAAATATTGTGTGGTTTTTGTGTATGCAAAAAGTCTTCCATTTCTAAAGGCCATTAAAGTAACTTGCATGGTTAAGTAGAAATCATTCTAGAACAAAGTCATCCACATCCATTCAACTGCTTGCAAGTCAACAGAGGCACAGCTAGATTATTTTCTGATTATTTTTGAGCTGATGCATATCTAATGAAAAAAATCACTTGGGTACTTGTCTCAGTTGAAGCCCACCTCTTTTTAAAATTCATTAATTGAGGTACAAGTCTGAATAAACGCTGGTATTTTATCCTGAGATTGGGAAAATGAAGTAGTTGTTAGATATACTGATCCACTTTATGCAGCAATGAAAAGCTCTGTACCAATGAAATACCTGTACAGGCAAATAGCATCTTTGGAGTGCAAATGCAATGCATGTGCTTGTGCTGAAAATCCAGTCCATTGAGTTTCAATTGTATTTAGGTTCGATAGAATATAATGCCACATAATTTGAAGAGACCTAAAAACGACAAAGTTCTGTTATATTGGTGGAAAGTGTGGAGAGGAAAGATCCAAATGAAATCGGCAGAACAAAAGTAGAGCAAGGTTGTTTAGAAGCAAATGGCTGACTCAAATATTTTAATAATGGCATTAAGTCACTGGAAAAGTTTTAATGTTAAGACTGACTTTCAAAGGATAGCAGGAAATTGTAAATGCAAATATATATTCATCCCATACTAATATAAACTCAGCTATTCTGTGGTCCTTGCACTTTGTAGTAATCTAAATGGCAGAACATAATGTTGTCAATTCTCAAGACCAGACAAACTTCACAAATGCCACCTCAACTCTGCCAGCTTTACCTTTAAAGTGTATTTTTTGTGAATGTTAGAGCAGCTTACAGGGAAGTGACTCCATGTATTCTCTCTATTAAAAAAAAAAAAAAAAAAAAAAAAAGCCATACAGTTTCCAAGGTAGATTGTTGTGACAGCTTTTCAAAGAGATTGTCTCCATGAAATTCTCTCTGTGCCAGAAATGGGGGATTTTACTGGGGTGGAATAGCTGAATGATGATTATAATGAACACCCACATGTAGCACTGATAGCGAGCAGAGCACTGGCTTTGGCAGTGTAAGATATAAGCTACTTTCTATTCGTTACCATATATTCCCTTTCACTGAATTGACCATTAAGGCAGAAGGGCCCAATGGACACAAGTGCGCGTGGCCTAATACATTACATATCACAGACCAAGCAGTTTTGAGCTGCGTAAGCACAAAAAGCAAAATCCAAATAGGCAAATGCTTCTTCATGTGGGACTATGAGGTTGTGGCATTGATGAACTGTAGCAATAACAGAGAAAAAAAAGCAAAATTATTCAAGAACTGAAAGAACTATGAGTAGAGCAATGGTTAGAAGAACTCTGGTAAAATATCTAAGCTTTAACGAGATCTTTTCTTTTGCATATATGTGTTTGAAGAAAAATTTTTCAAATGGAGCAGTTACTGAAGAAACAAAAGATGTTCTCCTCTGTGATGGCAAGATCCATTTGAATTTAGTCCAGCAGCTGTTTGACCTGACCATTATTGAAATGAAACACGGTACGTTCTTTCTACTTCAAGTATCTGGTTTCAACTGAGATTTTTAGTGTAAATGAGGCATTTGTGGTAATTATCCCGTACTGTAGAAAATGGTGATAGCTAAATTCACTTGAATGCTAAGTAATTGCAGAGCTACCTATTACCGGAGTGATATGTTGGATGCCTCTGCAGAGGAAGACTGAGAAAATAGTCAGTCATCTGCATTATATGGAAACAGAATTTCTTCCTTATGGGACCTTTTGGTATTCTGCCTTTTCTATTTGCACATGTTCCACACCTGACAATAAGGAATAGGCTGGAGGAAAATTCATTCTCGGAATGCGACAGATGTGTGTCGTGTAGCATTTGGGATTCTTTGACTTTAAGACAAACAGCAAAGCTCAGGGCTCTAATTTTCCCACCACACATTTACCACCACCACCAATTAACTTATAAATGCAGACACTACTAGGGGAAACCCAGCCCCAGACTGGTCACTGAATTACCTTGTCCCTGTCTGTTCATGCATGCTACTTTCTCAGCAATATACAGATTATTTTTCTTAGCCATTGCTCTATGATACTTCTAAAGGCTTTTCTCATCTCAGCCTAGACAGATCAAGATCTTGAGGTACAAAGTATTGGCTGTAATTATGATCTGCTTGCACTGTTTCCCCACAGAGAGATCCACAAGTAACTCACTGTCTTGGCCCTCAGCCCCTGCAGGCTGAGACCCGTCAGCTCAATCAGTACAGCCAGAACTGAATTTGACTCTTGGTGAAAGCAAAATGAAAAGGCCAGTAATAACACTCTGATTTTCCAATTGACTGGCGTGTAATAGGCTAATTAATAAGAAGGCTACATACATACTACAGATCAGGGAAGTGCCTTTCACCTAGGCATACTGGGATATTTCAGTTCTTCCCTGGCTTTCTGAGAGTTGCTCCAGAATATAACGATATGCAGCTTCTGTATTTTTGAAGGCAGTCTCTCTTGACACTGCACATGCAGTGAAGGCCGATATGAAAAGACCAGGGCAGCCTGGTCTGGTCGTTGGTGACCTTGCACACAGCAGGGGCTTGAAACTGAATGATCATTGTGGTCCTTTTCAACCCAGGCCATTCTATGATTCCGTGATAAAAAACCTTCACTTGCTGCAAAGGCCTGAACTATTCCTAGCAGGCTTCTGTGATAATGCAATGTAGATAATGCTATCTTTTGCAGGGCAAGAAGAATGTAATTTTTGGCTTGTATTTCCACTTCTTAATTTTGGAAGGAAATGCCCATAATGAAACCAGGTTTTCATGGCCCATTGTTCAGTATGAAAATGATAAGTGATGGGATGGAGAATGCCTATTTTCAGCTCAATGAGACGACTGAATATTGTTAGTAGAACTCTACGATTTCCTGAGTCAGACTTCAGAACCCTAACGTGTCCCTCTGCCCCTCTGCCTCTTCACTGCGCTGCTTGGCGTTTCAGAAATCAGATCTGTTGCCAGCAGAAAGAAAGACTGAATCAAGAATCACTCTGAAACTCCCATAATCCTGAAGAACTATCAGGTTCTGGGCAGAGGTTGTTATGTATCTCTTCGTTCACTTACGATCAGTAGAGGTTTAAATTCCTAAACCTTTCCTTCGCCACTATGCTTGAATATTAAATTTGGTGTTTAAAAATGTCACTCCCATTCTTTAACATTTTACAATTAAAAGACATGTAATCAAGAGCGTGCTTATACTGCAGTGGCAGTCCTGCTTTTTTTTTAGCTATGAATATATGCTTAAACTTGAATATATTGAAATAAAGCTGATAACTGCAGACCAAATTCATACCCACGGCGAAGCTATGAAGATCATAACAGTTATAAGAGCAATGAGCTTGGCCTCATCATGTGTACGTTAAGTCCAGAACTATAATAACATTACCTGTGCTAAATATAACCTGCCACACAGAGCCCTGGTATTAGCACACTACATTAAAAGTCACTCTTTTCTGAAGGTTATAGTGGTAAGAACCTGGCATAACAAAAGGAAAATGTGTTCAACATAAGGTTTTCCTACCTTCAATATATATATTCTGTGGGTTATGCTTCAAAGCAAGTGTTAGCAATTACACAGAGAACTTCAAATGTTTCAACAGGTGAAAATAAAAAGTCCTAAGAGTACGACAAAAAGAAATATGCTTTATTAATTTGACCACCAATGTAACTACCAGTTTGGATGGCAGAATTTCCACTTCTAGGCCCATTGTTTTCAGAATCGGAAGACTGTCCAGAATAAGAAAGTATTAAGAGCAGAAGATTAAAGATTCGTGGTTTGGAATGACAATCTTCTTATGATGTAACAGGTGACATGACAACGTGGAATAGTGCAGCCTGGAAAGGTACTCTCTTAATGGTATAAAGAGGGGAGATTTGCTTTGTCCAGTAAAATGGTTTGTTATGACAAAAACTAAGCCTATATCTCCTACATTTTCTTATTCCACATTCTTTTTAAAAACAGTTTTATGTCTCCAAAATAAAAATCTGAACAGCAACTGTAACAAGGCTTTCTTTACCTCAAATCCCAGCCAATGGCAGCACCCAGCCACGACAGGATCATACCCTCCAAGAGCAGTGTGTGACACCAAGGCTCCTGCAATGCTTACCAGCTGCTACAGTTTGTTTGCATTTTTTTCCTTTCCACAAAATGTTAAACTGAACAAAAGACAGAATTTTCTGTAACAGCTGCAGCATCCATCAGGAAACAGATGAATCATTGGAGAAAAAATAGTACAGATCGCTTCATTTCCAAACTTACTTTCAAAGGAAGGTAAAATTGAAGGGTTAAGTTTAATTTCTGTTTCTCTGCGATATAGAAAGTGAACCTGAATGATTTTGATGTCTTTTTCATGTAATCTTGTCTCTTATTTTTCAGGAAAAAAAAACAAACACAAAACAAACACATGAAAAATATCATTTGAATTTTGTTCAGTCTCTTCTCTATGAAAAGTTCTGATTAATAATTAAAGAATGAAAAATTTTATATTATCAATTCTGTAAATCATCGAGCTGTAACTTCCATTTGCTATATGAATTTGTAAGCATACTGCACAACCCTGGCTTAGTATAGGAGAAGAAAACCCCTATTTTCCTCTAGTTTTTCTTTACCAACTCCTAGAAGGAGTCCAGTGGAGGGCGACAAGGATGATAAAGGGCCTGGAGCATATCCTGTATGAGGAAAGGCTGGGAGGCCTGGATCTGAAGAGAAGATTGATTTGATCAGTGGTCATAAATATCTGAAGTGTGGGAGGCAGCTGTTTGAGGCCAGGCTCTTTACAGTGGTGTGTAGAAATGGCTAAAGACTTCAAATCCCTGCAATTCTGTGATTCATTGTTTGGGTACAGCAGATGAACAAGTGGGAGAAGCAGGGGTGGATCAAAGTTGGCATGGAAAGCCTGTCTGAGGTTTCAGAAAATGGAGATATTCATTGTTTATCAGAACTGGCAAAGATACGTGGTTTTTTTCCAGTTAAGTTCAATAAGGTTTGATACGAGAGTGTTGAGGTGCTGGAACAGCTGCCCAGAGAGGCTGTGGATGCCCCGTCCATCCCTGGAGGTGTTCAAGGCCAGGTTGGATGGGGTCCTGGGCAGCCTGTTCTGAAACGGGGAGGTTGGTGGCCCTGCATGTGGCAGGGGGTTGGAGCTTCATCATCCTTGAGGTCCCTTCCAACACTGGCCATTCTGTGATTCTGTGATAAGGTACAAAATGCCTTAAAACTTTCAAGAGCTTTCATTTTGCCTCCCTTTGCATTTATACAAAGGTGTGTTTAGCACGGACTGCCAGGTCTTAATGCCATGAAGGTAATGAGGCTTAGTGCAAAAGGAAGCCCACTCTGCTCATGTGCCAGATGACTGTTTTAAAGCATCACCGTGCCATTTATATAACCAGAGCAGTGCACTCATTTTCATTTTTGCTTAACTTTTGTAGGCTCTTCTTGGATTGTGCTCACTGCAGACAAGGACGGCTTTGTGCCATTAATATTCAAAGCAAGACAGGACATCATCATAAGGGATGGAACTGACAGTTCAGAAGTCTGCGGTCGTCACTCCTACAAAAAGGGCAGTTTAATGCAGCCACCAAGCAGAGTGACATAAGCGCTCACCAAAAAACACCAATGACCCCCTTTTTTTTTTTTTTTGCTGAAGCAATACAGAGATGTTCTGTGGCATCAGACACTGAATGACTAGAAAGTTGTCTTCACTACTTTCAATATATTTGGACTAAAATCTGGGGCACGGTCACACAATAGCTCAGTCCTAGGGTTGACTGCACCCTCATGATGTCTTCAGAATGATCAGACCTAGAATGGAGTTTACCAGTGTTATTAATTGTTATTAATAACGTTTTGTTATTAATGACTGCCAGTGGACTGGAGCAGTGACAAGACTCCAGTTGTGGTCAAGATGTTCTGGGAGAAATAACAGTATGCTGAAAATCATGCAGTAAAAACCAGTCTAACCAATATGGGAGTACAGCCCACACAAAAGCTGGAGAAAGTGCTACTAACGAGCATTTATACTAAGGAAAACTGCAAAAAGAGAAGGGAAAGCACTTTTTGGCTCTATATGAAGTTCCTGTGGGTCCCATGGAAACCTGCAACATTTTCAGAAATGCTTAATTCTAACATGAAAACGTTCAGCTACAAATACAGCTGCATCACTGCGTCCTGTCACTGTCTCACACAGCATGGAGATTTATACATGCACACTGAAGAGAAAGGGAAAAAAAAGAAACAACTTGTCAGGTAAATTAAAGATCAAAGACATTGAGTGTAAATGTCATTTGGCTAAACGCAGAGGTCTGTGCTGAACTTGCCATCCTGTATGATCAGACAAATAAAGGAAAACACCCCTATAGCAGATTATTCGTGTCCTACCATAGTTTCTAATACTGGTCATGGTGAGCCATCCCTATTGAATAAGTAATTAAGTGCCTATTCCTTTCTAGTGGCTGCAAAGCAAGCTGGTGTGATTGCTCTGAATTCAGACATTTACATTTATTCAGATGAACCTCACTCTGAGAACAGTTTCAATTCATTGAAATAAGTAATGTCCTTCTCATGCAAACGTCTTCCCAGAGACTGAGACATCATCATTCTAACAAGCCTGCAAACTCAGGTGTGAGATGTAGCTGGGTGTATTTGTACTGCCAGATTTCTAAGTGATGTAACGTATTTTGAAGAAGCAAAATATATTTGAACAACATCCTCGTGTCTCACAGCAGAATCTGGTGTTTAAAATATATAGGCCTGGGGCCAAGTAAACTTAAATTGTAATTAACTAGAAATGATGGAAGGATATATTTTATAAGAATATTTAGGCTAAACTAAGGGAAGAACTAAAGGGAATGTTTTTGGACAAGTATTGCCTTCTAAAGGGAATAGAGATAGCCCACAGGTTGGTCCACTTATACGAGGCTATTGAAACACAAAATGTGTGTTATATGGCGCAGATCCGCACTATGAACATACAAAATTGAACAAAACCAGGGCTGAGACTCCCAGGTTGGTTATCTATCTGCACTCCATAGTTTCTTTGAGTTTGTGATATGCATTATTCCAAAGGATTCCTTGTTGGAGGAATACTCACGTTCCATCTTTTGTCAACTTCATGCCTTAGTGCCATCACAGCAACCAAGGGGGGAAATCTTAACTATTAAGATCAGGAAGTGTGTACATCAAAGCTGCCTCAAAACTTATAATTATCACTAGACATTTCAATGTCAGCCTGCCACGCTACCATTTTAATTGTGTATGTGCTGCTTTTCTACGAAACAATCTGAATGTCGAGAACAGGAATGAAAAGAGCTTCTGTGCCAGAATGGCTATCAAAGTTTGGTTTGGTTCACTGGAGATAAAAGGAGGCCAACAAACTTTCAGATGACAGAACAATTAGTTTCAGGGCATAGCTGACTGTTACGTTCAAAAACTTAATTCTGTGATGTTTAACAAACTTTTCTTAAATTGTTATAATTCGGGGACATTGTTTTCCCTTGCTGTATGATTCATGGACCAAAGTAGGAACCAGTCTGTCTGAAGGCATTATTGTTACTCAGCACAATTAGTCTAGTTGCAAATGGGGACCCCAGTTCTCATTTGAGGACATTGAGAATTGCACAGGACAGCTTAGGAGAAGCGTTCTTTACAATCAATGGCGAATTAATATATTAAAAAACAGCAACACCTTCCATGCTTCTGAACACACATCACGCACATCTAAATCAATTTGAAAATGTTTAAATCATATGCATGCAATTACAACTAAATGACTCCTAAGCGAAGAAATATTTGTTTACAGGTAATGATTTAGGGATCCAGTGCAGTAGTATTTTATATAGTGTCTATCACAGGGCTGTAAATTTAAAATTGAAAGTAATAAAAGCACTGGAGGAAGCGCGGAAGGGATTTATGCAAAGCAGAGGATAAATTTTCAGCTTTGGTTTGGATGGAGAACAGATGGAGAATCAGTGAAGTAGAGAGATAGAGGACTGTTCTATTAAGCACAAGCTGTACAGAAGATTTTTGCACAAACAATGCAAAAGGCATGTGGAAAGATAAAACGAGTCTGGGCTCAGCTGAGCAGACCATAGGCTGTGAAAAGGAGAAAAACACAGATTGGGAAGCATTCACCTTCCTCCAGCAAGGCTATTTTATATCCGGTGGCCAAAACAGAAAAAAGGGAAGAGTTGTTTGGGTGACCTCTGCGTTGTGAAGGGGCTGAACCCCTCTTCAGGCTCAGCAGAAAGCTCGGGCTCCTCCAGGAAAGCAATGAGGAGGAGTACCTGTGCTGACTCCTGCCTAGAGTCACCCTGTGGGAAGTCTCTTTCATAATTTAAACAAAGGAAAGCTAAGGAACCTTGCGACTTAAATTAGAAGCCAAAGCTTAACAGATGCACTCAGTGTGTCACACTGGTGGCACTCGGAACTCTTCATGGTATACCAGCTCCTCCTTCCCTTGTGGGGAATAAAGAGCATACCAGAAAATTTGAATTCCATTTAAATTCCTCTGCATCTTTATCCGGCACATTTATATAGAACCTGATATATTTTAGGTGCTAGTATGTCATTACTTTCAAGTACAATCTGCTCCAAATTATAGCTGAAACTTACCTTACGTTCTCCATAACTTTGCTGTTAAACATGTGGCATCTGTTTCAGTCTTCCTGGTTCCTTCTGTTGCCGCCTCCTTGAGGGAGCTGCTAAGCGCAGGAGTGTTGTATGACAGGTGGTTGAGGTTTTTTCCCCCCTCTTTTGATTTTGAAAACAGTATAGTGAAAACAATAATAAACAATAGAAAAATGTCATGCAACAGAGGAGGGCGACTAAGATGATCAGGGGGCTGGAGCACCTCCCCTATGAGGACAGGCTGAGGGAGTTGGGCTTGTTCAGCCCGGAGAAGAGAAGGCTGCGGGGTGACCTCAGTGCAGCCTATCAATACCTGAAGGGAACCTACACCCAGGAGGGGAGTAAACTCTTCAGAAGGGCTGATAGCAGCAGGACTAGGGGAAATGGATCCAAGTTGAAGGAGGGAAGATTTAGGTTGGATGTTAGGGGGAAGTTCTTCACAAGGAGAGTGGTTAGGCCCTGGAACGGGCTGCCCAGGGAGGTTGTGGATGCCCCGTCCTTGGACGTGTTCAAGGCCAGGTTGGACGGGGTCCTGGGCAACCTGATCTGAATGTGGATGTTTGGTGGCCCTGCTAGGCAGGGGGGTTGGAACTACATGATCCTTGAGGTCCCTTCCAACCCGGGTGATTCTGTGATTCTGTGACAAAATGAAAGTCAGTTGCATGGCTGTTGGCCAATCTGTGGTGCTGACTTTGCACAGTGAAATATTTCCTTGGTATTCTTCATAACAACTGAAAAGTCAGCGTTTACTGCAGGTGTGTGAAGTGAAACCCTGCATGACCCTCAACCATTTAGTTCCCCTTCTTCCTCTGCTATTACTAAAGACCTGGGAACCCTTGAATAAAGCTCCAGAATATTACTATCTGTACTCATGCTAAAAATCTCAGTTATGAATTTCCTTTTAGCACACTTCCAGTCGGTTAGACAGCATAAATCAAACCTAACTTCCTTTTCCCAGCTTGGACAATGAATGTATACCCTGTCTTAACATGAAACTGCAAGCATCAGACCAGTATTCCTTAGGACAAGAGGAGGTGGCCTTAAGTTGGGGCAGGTTCAGGTTGGGCATTAGGAAACATTTCTTCTCAGAAAAAGCAGTGCTGCAGTGGCACAGCTGCCCAGGGAGGTGGTGGGGTCACAGTTCCAGAACTGTGGGGATGTGGCACTGAGGGACGTGGGCAGTGGGCATGGTGGGGTGGGCTGGGGTTGGATTTCGGGATCTGAGAGGCCTTTTCCAACTGTAATGATTCTCTGATTCTCTGATTCTAAGGTGTAGACCAGAAGTCCTCTCAATCCCAACACAGTACTCCCTATTCATAAACAACACTTAATAGTTTAACTAATTTGATCTTAAAAAAAAAACACCATACAGTTCTAGATTGCTAAAACGAAACAGCTCAATCCTTCAGGCTCATGTGACCTAACTTTAAAGCACATGAAGTCAGGCAAGTGAATCCCAGAAGTTATTCAGTATCTCACTTGAAGTTACGAACTTATTTCCCATTGTCCCACACTGCAGAAATGAACTTATGTATTAGCATTACCTATTATATATGTTTAGATTTGTTAATTAGTGAATACTATTGCTTCAGCATTCTGCCAGATTGAGGCAGTTTCACCATCTCTGTTAAATGCAAACACACTTTGCGGAGGCTCAGCAGGTCCCTGCTGGTGCTGTTATCTAACAGAGGGCTGCCAGCTCCCCACTGATGGCATTTGGGTACCTCTCAGCTGAGTTTCCAGAGTGCTTGCTGCAGCTCAGCCTCTGTCTGCAGTGAGCCAGTGCTGTCCTTGAACTTTACCTTTCCTCCACTGTTATTTGACAAGAGTGTGTCAACAACCAGGTGTGATCAGATGTCTGGAGGCACGCGGTGCCGAAGCCCAGCACTGGCACAGGAAGAGTTCCTGCACAGGAGGTGACATTTGCACAGACCTGCCAGTTAAAACCATTAGGACTCGACAACCTCTGTCCTTTGGCAAGGATTCCTCCCACTTGTCAGCAGGCACCATGCTATCCTAGCAGACAAAGGACAAAAGCAGCACAGATACGCAGTTATGGACACAAAATAGATCCATGCTGATCTGCACTGATACACCGTTATCTCAAAAGGCTTGGACCTGTAATCAACATAAAAGAAAACTTCAAGAGAGGGTGAGAGGGTGCCTGAAAAGCAGGATTAATCTGCAACACTGCAGAGATGAAAACAGTGCTTTCACAGATCAGTGACACGCCTGACTTAAGCAAATATATTGCTGGTTCTGAAAAAGTCTGTCTACAAATACCCTTGGAAAGATTATTCCAAAGGAATGCTGTCATATTAAAAATCATTATGTAGAAATAATAGTTTTAACCAAATCAGTTATAAAACAGAACGTTTCTCATCAAAAGGCTCTCTCACTTTTTATACACTTTTTAAAGTTGTTTTAGTTTTACATGTTATGACGGGACACAACAAACTGAGACTAGTCAGAAGACACAGCTTCCTTGTGAGCACTTGCACACAAAGCCACATGACAGTGGATGGAAGGTTTCCTACTCCATTCCTTCTGTCCTAAAGCAGAGC